GGGGAGTAACCATAGCAACAGAAAAATCAACATGTAAAAAACCTCTTCTAAAGCCGACAGGAAAAGTTTACGTTTAATAAAACATATTTTCAATTCCCGTCTCTAAACCTTTGAATTCAAATAATTCCATCACTTGGAGGTAATAAAATTAGAATTTTGGTAGTTTTGGCAACACAAATGGCCTTCTAGTTTTGGGTTCCAAAACTGTGAGGAAATACTGTTAACCTGTCAATTTTATTATCTCTATAATTAAAGGGCCATTTGAACAAATGTCATTAAATAATTTTTAACTGAAAAGATTTTCTCTATATTTGTTCTGCTATCAGTTATAAAAACAGCCTTGAAGAGTACTTGACATTTTAAGAGACTTATTGCATATGTGACAAAAACATAGGGTGACACAGTTCAGAGCAAAGATACAGAAGCAACCTAAGTGTCCAGCAATGGACGGATGACTGGATAAAGAAAATGTGCTACATATATAAGATGGAGTACTATTCAGCCATAAAAAAGAATAAAATCATGTCTTCTGCAGCAACACGGATGGAACTGGAGGCCATTATGCTAAGTGAAACCACTCAGAAATAGACAAATTCTGCATGGTTTCACTTATAAGTGGGAGCTAAATAATGTGTATATATGGACATAGAGTGTGGAATAATAGACACTGGAAATTCGGAAAGGTGGGAGGGTGGTGAGGGATGAGAAATCACTTAATGGGTACAATGTACACTATTTGGGTAACGGTCCCACTAAAATCCCAGACTTCACCACTGTGCAATATATCCATGTATCAAAACCACATTTGTACCCCTTACATTTATACCAAAAAAAAAAAAAAAAAAAAGAAAAGAAAATATAAGGTGTTATGGAGTTCTCTTGATATGAATGGAACTTTGTGAAAATAATTAACATTAGGAAAGGATCCGGAGAAGTAACTTCTACTGTAAGTTTCTGAGACAGCTCTCACAGCCACCTCGGTAGCCTGTACCCCAGTGCATAATGGAGGCTCAGCAGCCCTTATGTCAGTAAGTGCCCCAGAGGCATCATTAAGTTCTGACATAGCTATTCTTGCTCAAGGAGCTCATGCACCTCATCTTAGAACTAGCACATTTCACGTTCCAGCATCATTTTGCATCATTTGATAGAGGAATATTCAGTTGGGTATTGGGAAACATGGTACTAGTCCAGCTCTTCAGCTAACCAGTTGTAGGCCTTGGACAAGTTATTATTCAGCTCTATGGCCATGGGCTGAAAGAGTCTCTCAGATTCTTCCCTGAGAAGAGACAGTTAAAGAGTTAAAGGGAAAGAGGAGACGACTTGTGTTTAATACCCACTTTGGGCCATTCCCAATACTAGGGTTTAAAAATATTTTTTGGCAAGGAACTGGCAAGATAGATGGAAATGTCAAGTACATGTGTTGACATATGAGGACACATTCATAAGCAGGCTGAGCTAAGGGACAGGGCCTGGGTTCAACCCTAGATCTGTTTGATGCCACATGAGGTTGTCTGTTTCTCAGATATCACTTCACCACCTTTACAACTGGCTCTGCCTGCTGTGTATACAGGTTGACCCCTGAGTGCTAGTTACATGCACTGAAGCCATCCACAGATTTTCAGGGCATGTCTTCTATTTTCTAAGCATAGAAGATTAGGTCCCTTGGAAAGTCCCTCTATAATCTTCCTCTTACCTAGGCAACCACTGTAACAGTATTTTCATACCAAATGTATACCATTTTGCCATCTGTGTTTATCACCTAATAATCTATCACTAACATCTACTTATGTTAATAAATAATTTAATCTTTATAAAGATTGAATTATATTATATTTATTATATTCAATTCCTTACTAATGAATATTTTAGTCCTTCTAATTTTGTTCTCCTTTAATAATCAGAAAGAGAAATACATCTATGGAAAAAATAAGGGTATTAAAATAATTTTTAAGAAGCCACAATATGTTAAAGAACAAATCAAGAGCATCAAGTCAACTTAATCTTCATGTTTTCCTTAAATCTTTGCTTAGAATCAAAGTTGCCTACAATCTAGGAGCATCTTTTAATTAACCATTGTTATATTATACATTTGAACTGAAATGCATCTGTAGGCCTTGGGGCCAGGAATTCTTGGTAGCATCCCTGAATCCCACTTTAAAAATGAGGTCATGCTATTTATATGAGGGAAAAAAAATAAACAGTTATGTGAACGAGTTCTGGCTGAAAGTGAAACATACACACAAAAACAAATCTAGTTTTGTGGTTAGTTGAAAATTCACAGCTGGTATAGGCTTTTCTTTCCATTTTAATTAAAGTGTTTCCCCCTCCCATGCAATGAGAAAATGCTCTTTTAGTGCTGATTGAAAGACCAAAGTCAGAGCAAAAGCTGTTTGAAAATTCCGAGGCTTAAGTTAAGCTGCTTTAAAAGCTGCTATGTGTACCAAACAACTTCGAAATTTCCTAACAGGATTTTGTAGAGTTCCAGTAAATCTTTCTCCCCATCACTTCTTTCCTCTCTTACTTTGGTGAAAACTAAAGTCAAGTAACGCAAAGGTCATCCAAGTAGACAGAAAAGCAAAAACTATATATTCATGTTAAAATTAAAATTATATGTAAATAAGTAACCATAATTAGTCATATACAACTATATAAACTATCTGTTTATTAGTTCTTTCTGATGTATTTTATAGTGCAATGATACTAGATAAGATTCATGTAAAATTAGGTCTGTAACTTATTACCCCCATTTTCCTAAGAGAAAGATAATGAGTTTTTTTTTAATTACTATTTTCTTCTTTTCTCTTTCCTCCCTTTGCTTTGTTCCCCATTTCCTACTTAGCTCTTTAAACGCAACTTTTACTTGCCCTTTACCAGACACTCTCTACAGGGCAAGCTTACCTAACTATGTGCTTGCTTAGAAGCTCCTGGACTGGAAATCTCTCCCACCCAGAGATTTCTTTGAGACAACAGTCAATTTACAACCTCAAGTACGCCTGAGATGAAACTCTCCCCCCACTGGAGAGTATCTCAGATATCTAACAGTCACTTTACAACCTAACTCTGCTTATGCTGGCACCAGCTTAACCACCTGGAAGATAAGGCACTGAAGCCACTGACATAGACCTTTACCTGCTCACTCCTTCCCTCATTTGCTGTTCATGCCAAGTCCCCCTTTAAAAGCCTCTGTTTTCTGTCCCCAAAGTGAGGTGGTACCTTTAAGCGAAGGGGTCTGTACTTCTTCCCCTATTCTATAGCTAAGCTATAGAATAAAAAGTCTCCTTATACCAGAACTCACTCTTGTTATCTGGACTCTGCAAGTGGTAAGTGACTGAACTGGTGACTTTTTATAGGTCTATATGAATTTTTAAAAATGATGGTCAAGCAGCTTTATTTATTAATAAATAAACAGAGTGGATCAAATGTGACAGGGGTAATGTTTCTTGCTGTGATGACAGATACTACCCTATCAATCATCTACCGGGGTTTCTCCTGCTGTTTTTCCCTCTTGAGCCCTTTCCCTGCAGGAGTGGTTGAGATGCTAGGAACACGGCTGAGGGTAGAACAGGACACAGCCAGCTGCTAATAAGACACTGTCAGGCAGCCAGCCACTTAGATCAGCATCTCTCCAAATCTTTTAAGAGAACATTTATTATTTTATTGAGGCCAGTATGGTTTAGGCTATACCCAAATGACAGCCATTGTTACTTGTAATGGCTTAGAGCTTGTTGGGGGGTTTGAAGGCAGAGAGTTTACCTCCAACGAAGGCCCCAGAGGCTTTGGTGGATTCTCTTTGGTTTCTCCTCACAGGTGGGATGCATCCTGATTTCTTACAATACCTGGTATTGCCATTTCTTGACACTACAGAGCAGCACATTGGCCATTTCCATGAGTACATGTCTTAGTTTCCTAATTTATTCATAAATTACCAATCTTACTGGACAGTGAAGAAACAAATGCTGCCCATAAATGGTCTAAAAAAATAGTAAAATGGTGCATGACAGAAACTTTTGTAAGCAGCATGGAGTTACTGAAGTGATTCATACGTGAGTCAGCATAAGGTATCTCTAATACGAGATACAGAACCTTTACAAATGCAGAGCAGTGCCTGAAGACTTTCCAGTGGGACATGCAGGACCCACATGCAAAATGAACTTCAAACTGGGACATTTCTTAGAATATAAGCACAGTCAGAAGTAAGAAAAGGTCATGCATTTCAGGCAGGTGGTTAAAAAACACATTTTTATAAAAAAAAGAATTGTCAAAATAATAATCACATTAGTGATTACTGACACGTTGGCACAGCAGTATAGCTGATTATTTGATCTTGAAAACTCAATATTTCATTTTGGTTTGAGGTAAACAGACATTTACAAAGGGCACAGGAGTTGAGATTTGTAGTCAGATTGCTTTTAAAGAATTTTTAAATTTTATTATTTTTGTTTAGACAAAGAGTCTCACTCTGTCACCCAGGCTGGAGTATAGAGGCCCAATCACAACTTGCTGTAACCTCAAACCCCTGGGTTTAAGCAAAGTCTTCCCATCTCAGCCTCTCGAGTAGCTGGAACTATAGGCACATGCCACCGTGCCCAGCTAATTTAAAAAAAAAAAATTTTTTTTTGTTTTGTTTTTGTTTTGGTAGAGACACGGTCTCACTATGTTGCTCAGGCTGGTCTCAAATTCCTGGTCTCAAATCTTCCCACCTTGGCTTTCCACAGTGCTGGGATTATAGCTGTGAGCCACTGCATCCAGCTTGCTTGATTTTGAATTTCCACTCAATTTACTAATGATATAATCTTGGGGCATTTTCTTAATCCCTCTATGCCTTGGTTTCCTCATCTATATAATGTAGAGAGTAATTGTACTTCTATTATATGGCTGTTGTAAGGATTAAATAAGGTAATTCATGTAAACAGCTTAGCACAGGGCCTAGAACAAAGTAATGCTAGTGGCTATTATTGTAATGACTCTTATCATTCCCAGGGCCAAAGTAATTCACTTACCAAGATGAGTGTCCATCACCTTTGCACAGTATTTGCACATGGCATCCAGGTCATTCAACTGTCCTTGAAGGAAGGAAATTTGGGCTTCTAATTCTTCTTCCTAAAGTAAAGGGATAAACATATGGAAATTTTTTAGAGATTGTCCAATAAAATCCCCATAGTTTTCTAAATGATCTAGACTAGTTTAAAGCAGCATGATACCTTTTTAAACCTAGACAAATCAAAACAGCAAATAAAAACAAAATCACAACTGCCACCGCCAACAAAATAAAAAAAGGGTAAAATGGAAAATTTTAAAGGTCTGGACTTTTCCTAATTGAATTCGAGCTTTAGGCCATGTGTAAAGTTATAGTTAGATTGCATATACAATCTTGCATTGCATAGATTTGCATATACAACCTTGTATTTAAAAAGCACACAATATATCTTCAATAAGCATTGGGCAACACAAATTAAGAGGGCAATTTGGATTTCAGTGAACTATACTTCCTAAGCAGTTGGTACAAAAACATTGCATCTTTTTCACACATTTGCAAAACCAAAGATTTCCCTTTTTATAAGACAAATCTGTAAGCCTGGAACCTGGACTCTGTTTAAAAAAAAAAAAAAAAAAAAAGAAAGAAAAAGACATATCTCATCATTTTCTAGACAATGATAATCTGATAATTTCTTAACATGTGAGATTTCCTAAAGCGCTTGGAAAAGTTTTGCCTCAGCAGCCCATAAATTGTTGCTCCTCTCTCTTGATATGACACTAGCATATTTCATTTATTTGTTTGTTTCTAGGAAAAAGTACTCTAGGTTGAATAATTATCTAAGTTAAATTACCTAAAAACAATGTAACTGTAACAAAAGGCTGAAGTCTTTTTTTTTTTTGTTAAGGAAAAGATAATATAAGCAAAAAGTTTCCCAAGGAAATTTGGAGGGTTATGGGAGGTTTTTTTTAAGAGAAAAAGAATAATCCTCATCATTTAGGATACTCTAAACAAAGCTAGCTGGAATACAAAGAAAGGATATTGCCAGAGCTGGAGTAGGCTACAAAATTGATTTTCCAGTCTTAGATCTACTTGTCCTTTTGCATAAGAATCCTCTGTATCATTAAAAAAGAAGGAAAGAAAAACCTACTAAGGTATCCTTTCTCTTTGAGAAAGAGTATAATTTGACTTGTACATGGAAATTAATAGTTGAAAAGGTTACTTGTAGATATATCCCATTTTAACAATAGGCACATGTAGCACTGCAAATTATTGTTTTTAACTGCTGTCTCAAGAGCTAGCTCTTAGGAATAGGCATTGAAACACTTGACACAGAAAACAGACGTAGTGCTGTGCGCGGTGGCTCATGCTTGTAATCCCAGCACTTTGAGAGGCAGAGGCAGGCAGATCACTTGAGGTCAGGAGTTCGAGACCAGCCTTGTCAACATGGTGAACCCCTGTCTCTACTAAAAATACAACAAATTAGCTGGGAGTGTTGGTGAGCACCTGTAATCCTAGCTACTCAGGAGGCTGAGCAGGAGAATCGATTGAACCCGGGAGATGGAGGTTGATGTGAGCTGAGATCATGCCACTGAACTCCAGCCTGGGTGACAGAGCAAAACTCTACCTCAAAAAAAAAAAAAAAAAAAAAGAAAGAAAGAAAGAAAATAGACATAGTAGTAGCAGCACTAACCATGTTCTTTATATATCCTACAAGTGTAGTAGCCTCTCCTCCAATACTCAAATAAGAACAAATACTTCCAGAAGAAGCTTAGCCAAAGGATAATTAGAAGTAATTTTGGAGAGGTGGGGTTATCTTCCTAACTCTGCAGCTGAGCATTAAGGTAGAAAAGGATGGGGTGTTTCAGGGCTTTTCTCTACTTCTTTTTCTCATTTGTTTCTGCACAGCCTTGAATTTCCCTGGTTGTCACAGGAAACTAGGAATTAGAGAAAGAAGGCTACATCTGCTGTTTAATAATGGTTGTGCTTAGTCTCCAAAGATGGCCACCATCAATTTCTTCCCTCCCTGACTATGCATGTTGCTTTATTCATTACAAGGTCGTATGTATTCCCCCTGTCCTTGAATCTGGACTGGTCTATGACCTGCATTGATCCAGAGCATGTAGCCTAAGTCAAACTGCTAATTTTGAGCTAGTTTAAGGGGCCTGCCAGCTTCTGCTTTCATTAGAAGCTAGCTACCATGCTGTAAAGAAGTTCAGGCTACAATACTGAAAGAAAGGAGAGAACATACAGAGAAAAAGAGGGCACATGAGAAGCACAGAAGTTCTAGACATGTGAATAAAGTTTTTCTGGACTTTTCAGCCTGAGTCAGCTGAAGCCGGCCTAGTAAGTAACCCAGTCAAGACCCTTCCTGGAGCAGAAGAAGAGCCTGAGCCCTGCTCAAATTCCTGATCCACAGACCTATGATGGGGGTACTAGATTTTGGAGTAGGTTTGTTATGCAGCAATAGACAACAGAAATAGAGGCAGAATGAAAACAACATTAACTTAGCATATGGCATGAGGAAACGTAAGTTCTATTCCTGGTCCTGCCATTAATAAGTCACGGGACCTTAAGTAATTCTCTGTCCACTCTGGACCTAAATTCAGTACTCTCAGGTGAATGCAAAAGTTAGACGCTTTGCTTCCAAGGAACTTACAAACTAGTAAATGGAATAAGAAAGTTATATGGTCCCGGTCTACTCTACTGAACCATTAACCTTTTTAGTTTGCGGCAGACACAAACCCCAATTAGCTGAGTCTGGAACTGTACCGAGGCCAGAGTTTGATAGTCTTTTAAAAAGAGAGGGCCAATCTGTGGCCTGTGTTTCGCCTTACAAGTGGCTACCAATTGGGGTGCTGATAGCCCGGAGTGGACCAAGGGCACAAGGAATGCAGTGCTTCTTGGTTTAAAAACTTCTCCTCTGTTTATTCCATGCATTAGTTTAATTTGGATTAGCCACCACTTCTTTTAAAACACGAAAGCCGTTGGGAGCTTTGATACTCAGCAGTCATTCCTACCTGAATGGATTTATTTTCTTTTGCAAAGGAAATCAAACTGGGAAGGAAGAACTTAGAAGACACGCTTTAGAGGACGTAGGCACAGTCTGTTGGCAGTGAGGTGTTGAACAGCTGGTGGAAAGTATGAGCTTAAAGAGGGCCTCTTTCTCAAAACATTTTATTCCTCTAGCAGGAACATTACTGTAATAAAGACTGTGATGAGACTGGGGCCCTCTAACCTGTATAGTTAATGGGGAAGTCCTAAGAGTGTAGCAGTCCAGGGCACTTGCTGGGCAAATATGCAGGGATATAAAAACACAAATTTCCAAGTCTGCAATTTTTGCTTAGGGCTCTGGTGGCAGCCACTGAAGTGCATCTTGAATACTTAAACCCCAAGTAGATCTTGATACAAACAGAATCTGTTTGTCTCAATATAAACACATGGAAAAAGGCAACTTTGAATCAGTTAAACCTTCTTTTTCAAAGGGATGGTTATATAAAAGCCGAATATGTGAGATAAAAGAGGACTACTCTGGTTGAAGCAGGTTGAGGTACCAAGAACCTCATCCATAGTCTGAAATCTAATGTATTATCCTCTAGAGTTTGCTTAATCTTAAAACATTTCTAAACCCTTCAACTATCACTCAGACTTTATAAATAGAAATGGAATCACTTGGAGGCAAAAGGGTGGCTTGTCATTTATTCTTCACTATATTATATAATTACAGATAAAAGAAAGAGCCAAGAATCAAGCTTCTAAAACTGTGGGAACTGACTTTACATTTTTATCTTTTCTCATCCTCCACACTCCTCCCAACTAACAATGCTTTAGACATTGACAGCTTTAGTTATGTGTTTTCATTAAATTGGTCCTCTGTAATAAAAATGCTTGGCTAATTGCCTTGAGGTTTTATGAAACCAACCAGTTACCAGTTAGTGTAATTATGTGTAAATAAGACACTGAAGATAAATGTTTATTATATTTACTTTTATGTGTATGTCCTGCCTTCCATTATAGGAGGGCGTAGGGTGGGGAACAAAGTAATGCTGAAATAGACACACCTGGGTTCACATCCTATTTTTCTCAGTTATTAGCTGTATAATCTTGGACAAGTTCCTTAATTTCTTGGTCTACGCAACCCAACCTGGAAGGATTGGGGGAGAACAAATGGGAACATATGGAGAACATAGCATCTGGCACAGAGCAGACACTCGATAAAGGTAATTATTCTTTCTTTAGAATTTTTTTTTTATAATCAAGTTCAGACAGTGAAATGGATTTAAATACAAAGTTTTATGATTCACTGTTGGAAAACAGGCTTTAAAACGTTTACATAGCTTAGCCCAGAAAGATTAGCTTAAGAGCCCATCACCGTCTTAAGCTCTGGATAGCAAATTAATGTGCAAGGCAAGAAACTGATAGAGGAGGATAAAGTTAGGCCACGTGTAGACTACAGCGTGCAACATCACCAATCGTAATTGGTGCCCTATAGCAAAGGACCAGAAGATGAGGGCCAATCTATCAGAAGAGAAAAATAACTAGCATCAAATCCCTTTACATTGATTGTAATATACCAGACACTGAGCTTTGCTGTATTAAAATGTTTACTCTTCACACAAACTTCTGAGGTATATTCTCTCATTATCTCCTACATAAAATATGGTCTACTCCTCTGTAAGCCACATTCTCTGGAAGTGTATGCTAAGGTTTAGATAGCTCTTTGAGAACCCAAGTCACTTGGCCTGCTACTCTCATTTCTTCCCTGTGTACACATTCCTTCCTATGCTCCATTACTATGGTCCTTCCCATGAACGATCCCATATTTCAGTTTCCTCTACCTGAGATTCACCAGTTGTAATGCTGAGTCCTAATGCCAAATTGCTTATTAAATTGTTTTCCTTCAAAAACATACAGATATGACTGGCTGTGTTGTTTTGTTGTTTGTTGAATGATTTTCTTTTTGACTAAATAATCTGAAGAAATCGTTTTTTGAATTTGCTTTTTTTTTTTTTTTTTTTTTTGAGACGGAGTCTCACGCTGTTGCCCAGGCTGGAGTGCAGTGGCGCGATCTCGGCTCACTGCAAGCTCCGCCTCCCGGGTTCCCGCCATTCTCCTGCCTCAGCCT